CTCCAATATCGGGGAAACTGGCAGGAACTTAAACATAAGACTTACTGAACACAAACGAGCTACTAAGAAACAAGACAAAACTAATCACATTGCCTTAAGATCACCGACACACAAAGCACAACATTGACTGGGACTCGGCAAAATGCAATACTTACAGTACTGACTATAGACAACGGCTCACATTAGATAGTTGGTATACCAACTTGGAACAAACCCCCCTGAACAGATCACAGCAATTACCGGCACCTTACAAATGACTTATTCACAATACAAACAAACGATCAACAAAAACATTACACTTCACACTACTTCACACCACTTTGTACTACTTTTTCACTCTTTATATCAACATTCGACTATGAATATGATTTTTGCTTTGTTCTTTTATCTTTAGCTGTAAGTGTTCTGCTATAATTTTGATTCGAGACCTTCAATGGTCTATTTTTTTGACATTAAAAACTTCAAGGTAGGAATGGTACTTTAAAATGACCAAGTGTCTTCAACGAACTCTCTGGTCCTTTGGATAGACACAACCTTTCGAGGTTGAGAGTGGAGGTTCGAACCCTATCTAGAATAAGATGTTGTTAGGCTGTAGGATGATCCGAAACATGGGAAAATAGTGCTGGTTAATAGAACGAAAATGGGGTTTCTATTACTAAGTTTTTCGAGAATGGAATGCGACACTTAAATTCAGAAAAATTCGCTCTCCGATGAGAAGGAGAGCGAAGAAAAAAAAAGATAGGATCCCATGCAAAAAACCACTCTAAAAATTGTTTTGCTCAAATTTTTTTATGACTCCTGTGATCAGGGATATTTTTTTTAATTTTGAAATGTCGGGAAACCCAAGAGCAAACAGAACGCCCTAATATTCCCTTTCTTACCTCGAGGCACTCGTTTCTCAGTTCGTCTTTCTGTCGTCCACATCCTCCACGTACACCTGCCAAGTGTGTCGGCAGAGGGGCGAACCAAGGACCTTGTGCACCGGAAGTCATTGATGTCGAATTAAGCGCCCAACATCGGCCAGTTGAGCTATGCGCTCGTCATCGAAAACTCTATGTTTTTTGGAGTATTTGTCATATTTTTTTCAATGTGAAGCGAAAGAAAAGGAGAAGGTCTTGAACCTTAGATGGTCTTGAACCCGAAAAGGTGAGATCACTGCACCGATATCTATACCACTCAGCCAGACGGGTGAATTGGCAAAACGATTAAAACATGTCAAGTCTTTCTGACAAAACAACATTACCTTCTTTTCTCTCGAGGCTCACAATTTATACTGTGTTTAACTTGTTCTTCGTCACCATCATTGCAAAGGTGAAGAAAGGGACTTTTTACGCATTATACTTGTTCTACTCTAACATTGCAGGAGAATAAATGATAAAACCGAAAGGAGGAAGACCAATAAAGTATGCACAATGTCAGACATTGCCATGTGGTAAATCAGAAAAACAACGCGCATGTTCGTAGTCAATTTAATGGCGCTTGGAGTTTCTAACTTGTCCGTTCAAAGATAAATAACATAATTTTTACCATCATGCATGATAATATTGTAATGGTTTCTACAAAAGCATATGGTTCATACAGAACAGTATCCACTTACTAATTCCTAGTCTATTCAAGTCTTTTTGTCATTTTACAATCTTGCCATGTCTTGAGTGTCATCATTTAAAATATAGTCAATGTTATCAATATAGCCAATGCGGTTTTTGTCTACATTTGTGTCTACCTTCCTGTCTACATTAGTGTCTAACTTAATGTGAGTCCTGCCTTTGTGTCCAGGGGCGGATCTAGGATTTTTCAAACATCAGTCATAAAACATCGGAGGCGCTCCGCACCAGGGGGGGTCTGAGGCATTCTCCCCTGAGAAATTTTGTATTTCAGAGCCTTGAAAATGCCATTTTCAGGGTTTTAGAGCAATACAAAATGTATTTTGTGGGCATCGTTTTTGCGTAAAAACAACACATTTTGCTTACGTTTTTTTCGAAAAAAAAATGAAGTGAACAATACTTGAATGTTTTGCCAAATATTTAGGCTCATTATCATGCCAAATATATGGCTCATTAGCATGTCTAGGAACGTAAAATTTATTTTACAATAATGCTATTCAAAAACAGATGTAGTCTTTTATAATTTCTACCAAGTTGTCAGGCATAGACCCCCCTAGAGACCCCCATTCAAACCTTTATGTAATGAGTTAAGTTAGAAATTTGGTACTACAAGTGACAGTTCATAGATATAGAAAAGCTCAGACTTCAAACCATGCAAGTTTATTGTAACCCTTTACCCATCTCCACATCAGTGCCAGCAAATTCACTTTTTGAGAAAAAACTCAAAATTTTTTTCTGTCAAAGATTAAGCAAAAACTATCAGAGTGAAAATTTGCAATTAAGGACAGCTTAATGCCATAAATGTTTATTAGGCATTTCACTAGACTATTATATTCTGTAAATATGTGCAAGGTGTGCTATATAGCAATCACTAGTAGCATTGTATTTGCAAATACAAACAGAATGTAACCAACATGTCTTTAATTATATAATTAGATGAATGTTAAAATTGGTTCATGTGTCATGCTTACTGGTAATGATAAATATCTTTTCATATGATCAAAGCTCGTTTAAATGTAAATCTGAAATAATTTAGTTTGGGATTATATAACCCATTTCATAGGTTTCTTTGTTCTTGCTTGAAATTATTAAACTCTTGTCTGTGCGCAACCAAAACCAACGGTGAAAAGAATATGGTTGGTGCGTATGTTGACAAAAAATAGTTATGTTAGTTCAAACTGAGAACTTTGTCTTATGAAAAGGTAGACACAAAGGTAGACAAGAAGGTAGACACAAATGTAGACAAAAACCGTATTGGCTATATTGATTACATTGACTATATTTTAAATGATGACACTCAAGACATGGCAAGGTTGTAAAATGACAAAAAGACTTGAATAGACTAGGAATTAGTAAGTGGATACTGTTCTGTATGAACCATATGCTTTGTAGAAACCATTACAATATTATCATGCATGATGGTAAAAAATGTTATTTATCTTTGAACACACAAGTTAGAAACTCCCAGCGCCATTAAATTGACTACGAGCATGCGCATTACTGTTTTGACTTACCACATGGCAGTGTCTGACATTGTGCATACTTTATTAATCTTTCTCCTTTCTGTTAAAACATTTATTCTCCAACAATGTTAGAGTTGGACAGCTAAAATGCGTAGTAAGTCCCTTTCTTCACCGTTGCAATGATGGCGACGAACTACAAGTTAAACACAGCATAAAATATGAGCCTCGAGAGAAAAGAAGGCAATGTTGTTTTGTCAGAAGCACTTGACATGTTTTAAATGATATTTCCAATTCACCCGTCTGGCCGAGTGGTAAAGATGTCGATGCAGTGCTCTATTCATCTCGTGTTCAAGACCATCTAAGGTTCAAGACCTTCTCCTTTTCTTTCGCTTCACATTGAAAAAAATATGACAAATACTCCAAAAAACATAGAGTTTTCGATGACGAGCGCATAGCTCAACTGGCCGATGTTGGGCGCTTAGTTCGACATCAATGACCTCGGGTGCACAAGATCCTTGGTTCGCCCCTCTGCCAACACACTTGGCAGGTGTCAGCGGCGAATGTGGACGACAGAAAGACGAACTGGGGAACGAGTACCTCGATGTAAGAAAGGGAATATTAAGGCGTCCTGTTTGCTCTTGGCTTTCCTGACTTTTTAGAATTTAAAAAAATAACTCCCTGATCACAGGGAGTCATAAAAAAATTTGAGCAAAAATATTTTAAGAGTGTTTTTTTTTGCATGGGATCCTATCTTTTTTTTTCTTCGCTCTCCTTCTCATCGGAGAGCGAATTTTTCTGAATTTATACTAAGTGTCGCATTCCATTCTCGAAAAACTTAGTAATAGAAACCCCATTTTCGTTCTATTAACCAGCACTATTTTCCCATGTTTCGGATCATCCTACAGCCTAACAACATCTTATTCTAGACAGGGTTCGAACCTCCACTCTCAACCTCGAAAGGTTGTGTCTATCCACTAGACCAGAGAGTTCGTTGAAGACACTTGGTCATTTTAAAGTACCACTCCTACCTTGAAGTATTAAATGCAAAAAATATACCATTAAAGGTCTCGAATCAAAATAATAGCAGAACACTTACAGCTAAAGATAAAAGAACAAAGCAAAAATCATATTCGTAGTCGAATGTTGATATAAAGAGTGAAAAAGTAGTACAAATAAATACATTTATATTAATATTAGTTTGGTAATACATTAGCAAAACATCTATAGTTACTCATGTCTTCTATTGAAACAGATAGAGACAAGTAAGTCTTTCAAAAGCAGCACGCTTTCTTACGGCTAAGCAATGCAGATTTCTTTTAGCGGCTGCTATCGATATTAGCTTTAGTAATCCAATGGCACTTGTCGTACTAAAATACGAGGATGACATATTTCTGGCTTGACGTTGGTGAAGGCTTTAAAGCAGCCAATAACTTTTATATAATATAGATAGGAAATGAATTTTCCTATCGTTCCGTTTTTGAGGTGTATTCTTTAGGAATGTCGATTTCACGAGTCATATCCTACATTTTAATGGTTTATGACACTTATAACTTATCACAGCATATTTGACAACGCAGCCATATTATCTCTAAACATTGTGTAGAGGAAATCGGATGTTGTAAGAAACCAATCTGCATAGTCTTCAAGGCGCTCTTGTTTGTTGCGTTACGCTATCACTCGATTCCATAGCTTCTATACAAACTGTATACAAACATGCAACATCACCATACATAATACTACAGACATTATACTATGGAACATCACCATACATAATACTACAGACATTACACCATGGAACATCACCATACATAATACTAATACACAAAACACATTACCATGTAACATCACCACACACATTATCATGCTCCCTGACAGTACATTAATATACACGTTACCATGCAACATGCCATAATTACTACAATGTACCACAATGGACGTTGTGACGTCAATATTATTTTAAAAACAATAAAAAAATCACGACGCAAAAATCAAACAGAAAACGTCCGTTTCTTGGTTCAGTTGCTTCACTGTTCTCTTTCATTTTCCTTCAGACAAAAATACTCGTTGGTCAAAAAAGAAAATTGTCCCTATTTTAAAACTTATGATGTGAATCACCAGAAAATAAATTGTCCCAATGTGTTCGTAGGTTCTGAAGGAATGCCGATTGTCGTGGACGACGCGTCGTTTGACCAGCATAAATCAAAGAATGATCTAGAAAAAACAATTAACAATTAGCACAATATTTTTTGCGAGAAAACATGCGTCAGCTATGTACGACCAATGTTATGATCCTGCGGCGTTGCCGTTGCAGTAGGTAGGACATTGTCATTAATAGAAAGACAGATTAAGAATTCAAATGGCAGACTCCAAAGACAAATCATGAAATATCCGAGTGTCTGAAAATAAACAAAATTGACATCGCACATTAATATACACTCGCACAACAAAAACACTTCATCGACAACATAATTTTCAGTGAAGCGAGAAGTCACATCATATTGAAGACAAATGCCGGTAAACAAAGAACGTATCTAATCTTCGCACTTAGCTGGACAATTTAAGCAATCGTCTCAGGACCTGAAAAAATCAGGTGACTCAACGGGATTCGAACCCATGACCTCTGCGGTGCCGGTGCAGTGCTCTGACCACTGAGCTATGGTGTGACTTCATAGCTCAGTGGTCAGGCACTCACCAATTCCCCTCAACTTTTCAGGTCCTGTTAAATCCAGCTAAAATCATATCTCATTTAATTTCAAAACACCGCACTGCATAAAACATTCAAAGAACGTATCTCTTATTTTTTTTAATAAACAAATTCTCGGAAATACCTACATACCTCTGAAAAAGCGTGATATTCGTTTCCGAAAAACTGAAATGCCAAGTAATGGTTTACAACAAAACAAACTAAAAATAAAACATAAAGTTGAAAATAAGTGGAGGTTAGCAACATGCAACAAATGGAAAACAGTTGTATCGGTCAATTTACCACAACCAAGAAGAAAAAACGGAGATTTGACGGTTATATATGGAAAGTCACTGAGCAAGAAGAAATATGACACGCTTTGAATCAAACCAAACAATACAATGAACCAAGGAAAGTTGTCGATGATGTAAAGACCAATGTATGCCACAGAGACAATCTAAAAAAAGCAAAATTGAATGGGATTAAGCCAAAACAAAAACTGGTATGGTTGGTGCAGTTTATGGCTGGTGCAGTTTATGGTTGGTGCAGTTTATGGTTGGTGCAGTTTATGGTTGGTACAGTTTATGATTGGTGCAGTTTATGGTTGGTGCAGTTTATGGTTGGTGCAGTTTATGGTTGGTGCAGTTTATGGTTGGTACAGTTTATGGTTGGTGCAGTTTATGGTTGGTGCAGTTTATGGTTGGTGCAGTTTATGATTGGTACAGTTTATGGTTGGTGCAGTTTATGGTTGGTGCAGTTTATGGTTGGTACAGTTTATGGTTGGTGCAGTTTATGGTTGGTGCAGTTTATGGTTGGTGCAGTTTATGGTTGGTACAGTATATGGTTGGTGCAGTTTATGGTTGGTGCAGTTTATGGTTGGTACAGTTTGTGGTTGGTGCAGTTTATGGTTGGTGCAGTTTATGGTTGGTACAGTTTATGGTTGGTGCAGTTTATGGTTGGTACAGTTTATGGTTGTTGCAGTTTATGGTTGTTGCAGTTTATGGTTGGTGCAGTTTATGGTTGGTACAGTTTATGATTGGTGCAGTTTATGGTTAGTGCAGTTTATGGTTGGTGCAGTTTATGGTTGGTGCAGTTTATGGTTGGTGTAGTTCATGGTTGGTACAGTTTATGGTTGGTGCAGTTTATGGTTGGTGCAGTTTATGGTTGGTGCAGTTTATGATTTGTACTGTTTATGGTTGGTGCAGTTTATGGTTGGTGCAGTTTATGGTTGGTACAGTTTATGGTTGGTGCAGTTTATGGTTGGTGCAGTTTATGGTTGGTACAGTATATGGTTGGTGCAGTTTATGGTTGGTGCAGTTTATGGTTGGTACAGTTTGTGGTTTATGGTTGGTGCAGTTTATGGTTGGTACAGTTTATGGTTGGTGCAGTTTATGGTTGGTACAGTTTATGGTTGGTACAGTTTATGGTTGGTACAGTTTATGGTTGGTACAGTTTATGGTTGGTACAGTTTATGGTTGGTGCAGTTTATGGTTGGTGCAGTTTATGGTTGGTACAGTTTATGGTTGGCGCAGTTTATGGTTGGTGCAGTTTATGGTTGGTGCAGTTTATGGTTGGTACAGTATATGGTTGGTGCAGTTTATGGTTGGTGCAGTTTATGGTTGGTGCAGTTTATGGTTGGTACAGTTTATGATTGGTGCAGTTTATGGTTGGTGCAGTTTATGGTTGGTACAGTTTATGGTTGGTGCAGTTTATGGTTGGTACCGTTTATGGTTAGTACAGTTTACGGTTGGTACAGTTTATGGTTGGTACAGTTTATGGTTGGTACAGTTTATGGTTGGTACAGTTTATGGTTGGTACAGCTTATGGTTGGTACAGTTTATGCTTGGTACAGTTTATGCTTGGTACAGTTTATGCTTGGTACAGTTTATGCTTGGAAAAGTTTATGCTTGGTACAGTTTATGCTTCGTACAGTTTATGCTTAATACAGTTTATGGTTGGCCAGGTCTGCCTGGTAAGTTCATGTTCGGGATAGGAAACACACAATTACTTTACTAAACTAATTATGCAAGGTTTTCATTGAGTACACAGAAATGTACGAAAACATCAAGTTACAGGAGGACATAGACAAGATCAAGAATACAAGAATTGAAAAATTGGCAAATTTCGTTTTTGTGATGGATTTTCTCTCTCATTTACTGAAACATGCAACAAAATTGCAGGGTTTTGTTACAAATGAATACGAAATGATACCATGTATCCAAGAATCTAACTAAAATGTATTTTCTAAGTGAATTTATAAATGGTGGAAATTCATGGATTTCATCCTTTCCAACAGATTTTGATTGAACACACAAAAATTTTGAAAAGAAATAAGTGGATTGAGCAAAAATTTGTGAACACCATCAACATCCAAATTTATCATATAAAAGTATAATAATACATCTCTGGAGTATTTCATGGTATCGCATTGTTGACAGAATTTCCACATTTGAACACAAAACATAAATATTTCTGTTTTCAATTCATTGTCAGTAGTGAGAATTATATCATTTAAAGATAAGGACAATGAGAAAAACTATATACTTTGATGAAATATTTGTGAAATTAATTATTGCTGAAAACACAAGTCAAGTTTTTCGGCTGTGTAGATCCAACTCTATATTTGTACTTTTTGTGGCTAATGACATCGTCATAACATTCATGTAAAATCTTTTGAAAATTACAATATGTTGCTTGTTTGTAAAAGGCTTGTAGTACAGTAAATGGTCATTATTACCGTCTAATTTAGGCAGGTTAACGCAGATTCAAACCTCGGTCTTATCAATTTTTCAGTCTTCTATAAATGACAATTGATACATTTTTCTTCTCAAACTCAATTTAACCTTTCATTTTTTTGTTGTAATGTGGGATCCATAGCCTCGAAAACTAAAGATTTAGTGTCAGATCTCAAGGCATTAGAAATTTTCTGATGTTAAGCCACCTTTTCATATTATTTATAAGTCTGGGTGATGAAATGTGAAATTAGTCATAAGTATGTCCAACAAACTAAAATATGTTGTAAAATGCAGATATTAAATGAATTATTGATCAAAATTTGTTTTCAGATAAGTGAACAAATATTCTTTCATAAATAACAACTTACAGCAATTGTGATTCTGATAACCTTACTCATCACCACAGTATATTCCTCAACAAGCTCAGCCAGATAATAAAGAGTAGAAGCTAAGGGGAAAAAAGCAAGATATTGATCAGAAAAGGCATTTGAGATCGATAAAACTGTCTCCAGGCAAGATATCGATTAGATGACACAGGAAATGCAAAAATTGCAGTGATATACAAACATACCCAAAGCTACCGTAACAAGAACGACTTGAATGAGAGATGCAACCCATGCCAGAAAATACAAAAACATAGCGTAAGCCGTTACGTTTAGTTCAACCTGCCGTATGCTTCGACAATTTTTAATTCATATAAGACGCTTTTATACACACATGGTAAATTCCATAACTATTCCCTTACTTAACCAAAATGGTGAGCACTGTTGACACCAAAGTTCCACATTATAATAACCTATAAATAAATCATTTTTCTGTAAGTAGTGCTAGTCCTTTTTGTAAAAAACATGCACGATTTCAGGGGGAGTTGACAAAATGCTTAAGGCATGTTGCCCCCCCGGTTTATAAGCTTGTAATATTACTCAGAGCCTTCTATTAGTAATACTAATAGAGGACTCTGATATTACTGGTATAAGCCACTCTATTTATGGGCGCCTGGTTGTGATGAGTTGGTTGTAAATGTTCTGTGATATTTCATGATTTCGGCCATAGGTAGAAGAGAATTGTTGTCAAAGAAAATATTTTCACATTTTTCAAACGGATGAGAAAGTCATACGCAGCCGGTTTCTGAATTTCGACGTCACGTCTTTATACGATCTCGTAATAATTTCTCGTAACTCGTTCTCGCAACTTCTATGGTAGATTTCCATCATGTCCTCTTTCAGAAAAAAATACATGAAAATATATTGTGGTTTTGACTTTTTCCTTCTGCTGCATTAAAAACACACACATTCAACAAACACTCTCTTCTATTTATGACTACAGGTGAGAAAGTCAACATGAAGTGATGAAATATGAGTGAAAAAGCGAGTTGGAGACTACCTCCTGAAGATAATCGCGATGCAGAAAAATATAAAGATTTTACACCTAGCAGATGATGAATTTTCCAATCAAACGATTTAATTATGTTGGTATACTTATGAACGTGCAGTCATAACAATTTCGCTGAAACGCAGCAAATGACAGTATTCTCGTGTTTGGTAGAACTCAACGTTGCTTTTCTTTACAACAATGGCATTTTGACCCTCACAGTGGCAACAACGAGAACAGGTCTTAGGATAGCAAAGAAACCCGTTGTATACATCACCCCCTTCACTCTAGACGAAATTTTCCCAAGTCGTTTTACACCATCCACTTTCATTGACGACTGCAAATAACTATGAACTACTGTAGACTCAATGCAGATCATTATGAACTACATAAGTGTAAACTGTAAACTATTAGGAACACGAGACAATATCAGCATAAGTGTGTTTCTGTCACAGTATAGAGAACATACAGTAGAGCCACTCCATTGAACTATTTCGTGTCACGCATATCATATTACGCATGTGATTACCATACTGGCAGCCAGTAAATTGCATTGTGTGACCAATAGGATTGACGATATGGCAAACGGCAGCCAGTAAACTAATTAAATATACAGCAGCCAGTTGAGCAGCGAAGTGGCCCTACTGTATATTCTTATACTGTGGTTTCTGTATTCTATTGATCACATAATGATGAATGCATTCACTATACATGAATGCTGTTCACGTCAGTCATTATAATAAGCTGATTATAAGAAGTTCAAATATTCAGTAAGAAAAAGAAACAATGAACCTCATCTACGACAAACCTTCATTATTCCACATTCAAGCAGGGTTAGCATATATTGTGATGAAAAAAAGCATTTAAATATAGGATGGAAGTACCAGCTCGTGTTTTTAAGGGGGCATTCGGTACATTTTTTATTGCTTGCCCCATAGTGTGATAGGGAGGGGCAATCGATTATAAAGTTCAAGTGAGCAATCGTTTCAGTGAATACAATTGGTTGTTTGTGCATCAAATAAACCTAGGCTCTGTCCTATTTAAATCGGTTATTAAAATATTGGTTATTCACAGTGAAGTAATTTTGCTATTTATATAGTGCGAAAGTACATCGGACTAACACAAACTTTTCTCCCGCATCTTTTACTCACCATCAATTCGTACACAAACTTAAGTGGATCAATAACAAATTGTCCACGCTTTTACCAAACATTTGGTAGTTTCTTTCTTACGTTTAAAAATAAACCCCTTTCGCAGTTTATTTTGATTGTTTTTAAGCCTCCAGGTAAAAATTACTCATTCTGTTCCTGTAGAAAGAATTGAACTGAGTTCCCCTGATTCATGCAGTTCCTAAAAAATAGTTGAAGCTTTTCTGAACATTTCTGTGGACAATGCAAAAATAGGTTGGCCAACCTAACAGCCAAACTACTATCTTGAAGAAGACGATGATAAACACCAGTGCTGTTATCAGCACCAGTACCACTATGATTACCACTACCACTACAACAACCACTACCACTATGAAAACCACTACCACCACCACCACTACACTATACTACCACCACCACTACTACCACTATTACCACCACCACTACCACCACCACCACTATAAAAACCACCACCACCACTACCACTATAAAAACCACTATCACTACCACTACCAATATAAAAACCACAACCACCACCACTACAACAACCACCACCACTATAAAACCACTACCACCACCAATACAACAATACCACCACTATAAAACCACTACCACCACTGCAACCACTAACAATATAAAAACCATTACCACCACCACTACAACAACCACTACCACTATAAAACCACTACCACCACCACTACAACAACCACCACCACTATAAAAACCCTAACACTACCACTACAACAACCACTACCACCGCCACCACTATAAAAACCTGTACCACTACAACTAAAACAACCACTACCACTATAAAAACCACTACCACTACTACTACAACAACCACTACCACCACCACCACCACCACCACTATAACAACCATTACCACTATAACAAACATTACCACTACCACTACAACAACCACTACCACTATAATTACCACAACCATTACCACTATAACTACCACCACCACTACCAATATAACTGCCACTACTCCTACCCATACCACTATAACAACGGTGTTTGAGGCAAACTTACTTTCACTATATCCAAACCTCCAATCAGCTCTCCGTTCACATAAAGTTGAGGAAATGTGGGCCAGTTGGAAAATTTTTTAATACCACTGCGAACCTTAAAACCACAAGACGTTCAAGAGTCAACAAACACTTCTACTAGGAAAAGTAGTCAAAGTTAACGGGTCAAGACCGTCCCCCCCCTCTCTCCGAAAAGACATGCGATTGAACTATGATGTTTTTACCTCTTCATCAGATAAGACATCAAAACTTGATATCTTCACACTAAATTTAACGATTAAAATCGATCATAATTGACGTAACCGTGTGATTTTTTTTCGTCAATAACGTACCTCGGGTAGTTTTGCATAAGAGAACAAAACTGCTTGCTAAATCCACACCTAGGTTCCTAGAAATATGAACTTATAATGAGAAATAATCTACTTTTCAAATCAAGATGACACGATGGGCCCTTGCCTGAAGCGAGCCTTTCATGAAGAGCAAAACCGGTGACGAGTTGACGAGATTTGTCAACCTAAAAATCGCAAAAATATTTCTACATGGTGTGACATGAGAACACGGTTCATCAAAATCAACTTCTTACCTCGTGTTTAGATCTTCACGCTTGCAATCAGAAAGCATATTTTCCAATTCTCCTTCTTCCTGCATCTCCTATCGTTGAACAATGAACCGATCAAAGAAACATTAAAGCAGAATTGCTATAAATTCTCATTGTTCCTGCATCTCCTATCGTTGAACAATGAACCGATCAAAGAAACATTAAAGCAGATTTACTATAAATTCTCATTGTTCCTGCATCTCCTATCGTTGAACAATGAACCGATCAAAGAAACATTAAAGCAGATTTACTATAAATTCTCATTGTTCCTGCATCTCCTAACGTTGAACAATGAACCGATCAAAGAAACATTAAAGCAGATTTACTATAAATTCTCATTGTTCCTGCATCTCCTATCGTTGAACAATGAACCGATCAAAGAAACATTAAAGCAGAATTACTATAAATTCTCATTGTTCCTGCATCTCCTATCGTTGAACAATGAACTGATCAAAGAAACATTAAAGCAGATTTACTATAAATTCTCATTGTTCCTGCATCTCCTATCGTTGAACAATGAACCGATCAAAGAAACATTAAAGCAGATTTACTATAAATTCTCATTGTTCCTGCATCTCCTATCGTTGAACAATGAACCGATCAAAGAAACATTAAAGCAGATTTACTATAAATTCTCATTGTTCCTGCATCTCCTATCGTTGAACAATGAACCGATCAAAGAAATATTAAAGCAGAATTACTATAAATTCTCATTGTTCCTGCATCTCCTATCGTTGAACAATGAACCGATCAAAGAAACATTAAAGCAGATTTACTATAAATTCTCATTGTTCCTGCATCTCCTATCGTTGAACAATGAACCGATCAAAGAAACATTAAAGCAGATTTACTATAAATTCTCATTGTTCCTGCATCTCCTAACGTTGAACAATGAACCGATCAAAGAAACATTAAAGCAGATTTACTATAAATTCTCATTGTTCCTGCATCTCCTATCGTTGAACAATGAACCGATCAAAGAAACATTAAAGCAGAATTACTATAAATTCTCATTGTTCCTGCATCTCCTATCGTTGAACAATGAACTGATCAAAGAAACATTAAAGCAGATTTACTATAAATTCTCATTGTTCCTGCATTTCCTATCGTTGAACAATGAACCGATCAAAGAAACATTAAAGCAGATTTACTATAAATTCTCATTGTTCCTGCATCTCCTATCGTTGAACAATGAACCGATCAAAGAAACATTAAAGCAGATTTACTATAAATTCTCATTGTTCCTGCATCTCCTATCGTTGAACAATGAACCGATCAAAGAAACATTAAAGCAGATTTACTATAAATTCTCATTGTTCCTGCATCTCCTATCGTTGAACAATGAACCGATCAAAGAAACATTAAAGCATATTTACTATGAATTCTCATTGTTCCTGCATCTCCTATCGTTGAACAATGAACCGATCAAAGAAACATTAAAGCAGATTTACTATAAATTCTCATTGTTCCTGTATCTCCTAACGTTGAACAATGAGCCGATCAAAGAAACATTAAAGCAGACTTACTATAAATTCTCATTGTTCCTGCATCTCCTATCGTTGAACAATGAACCGATCAAAGAAACATTAAAGCAGATTTACTATAAATTCTCATTGTTCCTGCATCTCCTAACGTTGAACAATGAACCGATCAAAGAAACATTAAAGCAGATTTACTATAAATTCTTCTTGTTCCTGCATCTCCTATCTTGGAACATTGAACCGATCAAAGAAACATTAAAGCAGAATTACTAGAAATTTCTAAAGTAAAACAATTCAACGATCGCTTTTCCAATGAAACTATTCCTAGTATGACTAAAGTCGAGATGGTTTCGCTAATGCATAAAGTGGAAATTCTATTCTTACTCTGACGATGTCAACACCTCCAATTAATTCGCCATGGGCATAAAACTGAGGATACGTCGGCCATTTAGAATACACTTTTAGAGCTAAAAAATCGAAAATAATAACAATCAAGGACGAATCTTAATATCTAAAAGGATAGTTCTAAACATCTTACAAATATCCTGTGTTTGCTACCTTGTCTTACTTCGTCATCATTTAAAATATTAAATGTGCCAATCTTGTAGGGAGAAAGAATATTTATAATCTGTTTGCTGAATCCTACAACATGAAATCCACATTAGGGTACGTTTTAAGAGTAGTTCAGTTCATGTAAAGTAAAAAACATAAAATGGAAAAAACAACCTCAAGGCGCAGCAAACACAACAACGACCAATATCAAACAATTGCGTTGAACCTTTAACTCCTCCTCTTTGTAAACCACTGATGACAGACTTGGCGGTGTTAAAATGCAAAAAGTTTACTGAACTTTACTTTATATTCTTTTCTTTCACCTTTTAACTCTGCTAAGCTGGTCACAAGCTCAGGTCTTCACAAGGAGGAGGAGTTAAAGGTTCACCGCAATTCTCTGATTGTGTTTGCTACGCATGAGACTGTTTTCTCCGTTTTATGTTTTATTGCGTAGCACATTAACCTTTTCTTACAGTAAAACCGTTGTTTAGATCATACTTGTCATACACACAGTGACGTAAATCGAGGGGGAGGGGGTGTTAAGTGACAAGGGAACAAAAACCATTCGTAAATCGAAATGGAGCGGGGTTGCATATTATAGCGGACCGCAGGACCATTGGTCTCAGAAAATTTTTAAAGTTGACAGAAAAAAATTTGCTGAATAAAGTTAAATTAAAATTCTCATAGAAAAAAAGATAAAAAATAGATTGACATAGATGAGAGAGAAAATAGAAAGGAAGAGTAAGCTTTCAAAATTGTATACATTGGCAGACAGCAGTCTCAGCACTCAGAAAATTAAAAATAGTATGTAAAGTCATCTTTGCAGTTCTTACACGTCATTTCTTCATCTACTACGTCCAATAAAAGTGATTGATACAAATGATTTCATTCATATTGGATAAGTGAAAATTTCCTTGAGACGTTTTCTTGCAGAATATATTCTCGATGGTCTTCTGGTCCCAGAAAATAAAATATTTTATGCAGCCTTGGGGAGGGGAGGGGTGTTAGGGTGTCAAGTGACAGGAGAACAAAAACCATCCGTAAAAACTATAAAAAACATTTACAATGAATCGAAGTACTAACTACGGACACATAAGCAGCCTTTTTAACACCATTATGTTACAAATAGAACGCAAACACGGCATAGTTTTTATTTTAATTTTCCCAAAGTCCTTCAATCGCCACCTTGTATGTGTGGACCGACACAAGAGCTTATTAGTATAATTGGGCATATGGAAGGATCTGCTATGTTTTTGCAGGTGATGATCCAGCTCGGATTAGATTTCGAAGAATTGATATTGATAAAAATGTTTTGGTGGAAACGGCGCTATTAAATTGTTCTTTAAAGCATTGAAAACGAAACAAACTCTGCAGAAAGTGGTGGAAACACCATGATAAGCTCAACAGTAACTTACCACATTGGGGATTGTCGGGTGATCCTTTCATGAACAACATGCAAGGTGAAAGTGGTGGAAACACCATGATAAGCTCAGCAGTAACTTACCACATTGGGGATTGTCGGGTGTTCCTTTCATGAACAACAGTAAGGTGAAAGTGGTGGAAACACCATAATAAGCTCAGCAGTAACTTACCACATTGCGGATTGTCGGGTGTTCCTTTCATGAACAACATGTAAGGCGAACTGTTTATAAGTCTCTTCAGTTTTTCATCGATATTCTTCATAAAGTTCAAAGATAAATATTAGATTACATAAAGCACGTATTCCCGTTCAATATACAAAATAATGAAGTTTCAAGGGCGGTGTGAATAATAATAATAAAACATCGAACTACATAGCACACGCTCGATTAAATTTAATAAATTTAGAGTACCAAACTTTACAAGAGTGTACTAAACTGTAACATACAATCATACCAAAGCATTTGCTAGGTTCCTTTCACTCACTGTCATTGACATGGTAAAGTACCGGGTTTTTGAGTGGAAGGAATATAGCAAATGCTTTGGTATGACTGTATGTCATAGTTTTAGTACACCCTTGGAGAGTTTCTAACTCTAAATTTATTGAAGTAAAAACCATTTTCATTTCAAATCAATAAACATACGAAGAAGCCAATCACGGTCAACGTAAATAATTCATGTTTAGAAACGATTGAACATCACTCCATCGCATCAATGGACAAGATGAAAAATCCATATTTTTATATTTTTTTATTGGGGTGGTGCTAAAAATTTTGCGGGGGTGAGATGGTATGGAAGTGACGTAAAATAAAGCAAGGGTCAAAATTTTAGTGGCGGTCTGGTGGTGCAACCATCGAAGATAATGTAGAAAGTTGGAATATTGCCCAGAAAAATTCAGTTTAAATGTTCTACAGTGATTTGTTTTGCTAAAAATTGGGGAGTTGAAGTGTTTCTTAGAACAATGAACAATTTACTCATGGGGGTGAAATCTGATGTTGGGTGTGGTACACCCCAGTAAATCCACCATTATCAAAATCGGTTTTCAACTGGTTATTAACACACATAACTTCACGAAATAACGTGAAAAAATATTTTTTGAGTCTACGGATTATCGTATTTGACGTTCTAAGTGCTCCATACGTTACGATACATCGTTTACTGTGGTGGTTTTGTGGAAGATGTGAACATGCTGCAGGTCGTAATGACTGGAAGAGTAAAAATTTGGTCGGTCAACATGTCTTTTGCACCGGTCACTGTCCGTTGACCGTCCGTTATTTTGAGCCCTGGAAATTGTTGAACTAGATCTTATATACGAAGTTAGACAAAAGCTTACTTGTACGACGATTCATTAGGTTTATGGTGGACCCAGTGCTGTAGAACTAAATTTATCAGATGGGGGGCTCTCTTGACGTTTTTGTCAATAGTGCCCTTTTAAAATTACCCATTTCAAAGGTAGAAGGGGGGCTCCTCCCCCAAGCGCTCCCCCACTTCTACAGCACTGGGTGGACCATATCAAGTGTCCGCAGTGAAGTTATAGCGATAGCAATTTCAATACATTTCATGGTAGCTTCAGGCGGGGATTTGAAAAAGTGTAAGCGTTCTCAAGAGAGGGGTTTCGGTAGGCGAGGAGCATGAATAGCTTCTGATCATGTTTATTGATTTGACGAGAGCAATCTGTATGCTAACGATAATGATAGCACCTAATAAGAGCTCTTTCCAGCTCTTTCCATGATTCCATCAATGGGGGGTGGGGATATTTTCCCAATACTATCGATTTTCGGCACACTTACTTCGTCTGTCGTATCGACGTGAACGTTTTGTTTCGGTATATCTAACGTACTTCCATGCTTTTCAACTTTCTTCGTTAACTCCGGGGCATTTGCACCTTCGAGACGATCAATTTCCTTTCCATTCTAGTCGGAAAAAATTCAATGCTTTACCAAGATGATATTGATACCGACATGGACATCACTGTTGCAGGTGGATAATTTTCTCGTGCAAACATATACACATGATACGAAGCCAGTGCACAGAACAAACATGAAGAGCAGAGAGAATATCATTATTTACCGTATTCCCCCCCTATGTAGCTACCTAAGTAGCCTCACTTTACCACCCACACTCCTTCTAATGATTGCCCAATTGACCAGGGCCGTAGCCAAACTTAAATTGTTGCCGAGGCAAAGATTAGCACACACGCTCTTAACTAAAAAGACAGGTGGGTGGATCACATGGCCATTTCGCCTACCTCTCGCTGTCGTTACAAAACAGAATGTGGTTTCGAAACTTTTCAGAGACATTTGGTTTTACAAAATTGAGCGCACACGCTGTAACTTTAAAACGATTAAGAAAAAATTGTTTTTAAACATGAAAATCACTAACATTACATAACTCGATAGTTTTCTGTTTTCCTCGACTAATAAAATAATTATGTCGATTGCTAAGTAAATATCAATTAGCTTTTTAAAATATTAGACAAAACTCGGGAAAAACGTAGGCTTATCGATCAAGATAAAGTTTTCACAAAGAAAAAGCAGACACAATTCTACGATGAGCACTGGCATCGCATTTCTTTAGAATCTCCAGTAGATCTAAGTCAATGCTTTGGTCGATGAACGCTAAAGAAATTCTATTTAGTCTTTCTTCGTTCAAAGTAAATCTGCACTATGTTTTATGTCTTCTTAAACTGCTGAAGCGTCCTTCGCAGTTTAAAATATTTCTAACAATATTTAAAATATCTTTAAAATATCCACTTTTCTAAAATTTCAGCAGCCAACTTGTAAAAATTGACAAATTTCCAACCGAGGCAAGTGCTTCGTTTGCATAATGGTATGTAGGGCCCTGTTGACAGGTAGCAAAACAAGAAATAACAACTCTACTAATGGATTTCTATGGATTTATGATTTCTAGAGCATATTGTATTTCACTGTATCTCAAACAGATAATAGACGTTACCTTAAAGAAAACAACTGTTGGAACAGATGCAATTTTGTAATTCGTTGACAAAACTTCGTGATCTTCAGCTTCAATCTAAAATATTAAGATGGAATGACAGAAACTGGGTGAAACTTGATAAAAAACCTACAACGTAAACATTTGAAAACGACAAAATTCTTAAATTTCGAAACATGTCTATTTTCAAAAAAGTTATCTTTTATATTAAATGTGCATTGGCAATAGTGCTTTTACGAAATTATAAAGACAACATACTTAGTAAAATTTAACATGAACATTTAAAGACAACATACTTGGTAAAATTTAACATGAACATTTAAAGACAACATACTTGGTAAAATTTAACATGAACATTTAAAGACAACATACTTGGTAAAACTTAACATGAACATTTAAAGACAACATATTTAATATAAACGACAACTTTTTTGAAAATAGACATGTTTCGACATCTCATGATGCCTTCTTCAGTATGAGTGAAATAATAGGTGATACAAGGTTTATATAAAAATGATATCTTCCCCAGAGGTTCCCAACCCTCATGCTTCTATGGCTTACTGAAACTTCACAAGAAACGAGAACCAGAACAATCGCCTCCACTACCACCGATAGTTTCATCAATCAACGCATACAATTATAATTTAGCTAAGTACCTTAGTTCTCTACTAACACCACTCATACCAGATGACCACTCCACTAAAGATTCTTTCACCTTCCTCGACGACTTCTCATCTTTCAACTCATCAACTTCTTGTCACAAATTCTTCATCTCCTACGACGTTGAAAGCCTATTTACTAACATACCACTTACTGAAACCCTCAACCTAGCAATCGACTTAATATTCACTCATAACCCCAGGTTCAGTATAAACAGGACAGACCTCACACAACTGTTTTTCATAGCAACAGCACAGACACATTTTTTATTTAATGGAAAATTTTATGACCAGACGGACGGTGTTGCGATGGGCTCTCCCTTAGCACCCATACTTGCTAACATTTTCATGGGCTCACATGAACGAAACTGGCTAAACAACTACAACGACACTAAACCACTATTTTACCGCAGATACGTTGACGATATATTTTGTGTTTTTACTAACGAAACTGAGGCCATGAAGTTTTATAATTACATTAACACACAGCACGCAAACATTAGATTTTCATTTGAAACTGAACAACAAGATCAACTGCCATTTCTTGACATTTTACTAACAAAATCTCACGACAGCTGTACAACATCTACATACCACAAACCAACGTACACAGGACTTCTGACGAACTATTTTAGTTTCACACCACTTTCATACAAAACCGGACTTATACGCACACTAATCGACAGAGCATACAAACTTAACAATACGAACAATGGCTTTCAACGAGACATAAAAAACGTCACATCCACTCTTTTATGAAACTCTTTCCCACTTCACTTTATTAACAGAACCGTAAAACGATATCTCGACAACAAACAAAGCAACAACCTCAAACTAGACACCGAAACTACTGACACGACGATCACAACCAACACAAATGAAAATTCCAAAATAACAACACTATACTTCAAACTACCATACATCGGACATTACTCACGAGACACACAACGCAGACTTACAAACATTATGAAACGCTTCTGTACAGATATTGACATTCGACTAATTTTCACATCATTCAAAATCAAAAACTTTTTCTCATTCAAAGACCCAATCCCTGACTCAATTAAATCTATGGTGGTATATGAGTTCAATTGCGCGGGATGTAATTCCCGATACATTGGCGAAACTTCGCGCCATTTATCCACCAGAATCAGGGAACATACCACAACAGACAAAAACTCTCATATCTACCGACACCTTCTTAAATCTCACTCATGTAAAACCAACTATTCACCCTCTTGCTTCAAAATCATCGACACTGCCAACACCTCATTCACCCTTAAAATCAAAGAAGCACTCCACATTAACAAAACTAACCATGACCTCAATGTTCAAGTTTTTAAATTCAACACAATATTTAGTTTATAATACGCTCGGATGCTCCCCATTAATTAATCTTATTTCAACATTTAAAGACAAAATACTTGGTAAATTTTAACATGAACATTTAAAGACAACATACTTGGTAAAATTTAACATGAACATTTAAAGACAACATACTTGGTAAAATTTAACATAAACATTTAAAGACAACATACTTGGTAAAATTTAACATGAACATTTAAAGACAACATACTTGGTAAATTTTAACATGAACATTTAAAGACAACATACTTGGTAAGATTTAACATAAACATTTAAAGACAACATACTTGGTAAAATTTAACATGAACATTTAAAGACAACATACTTGGTAAAATTTAACATGAACATTTAAAGATAACATACTTGGTAAAATTTAACATAAACATTTAAAGACAACATACTTGGTAAAATTTAACATGAACATTTAAAGACAGCATACTTGGTAAATTTTAACATTAACATTTAAAGACAACATACTTGGTAAAATTTAACATGAACATTTAAAGACAACATACTTGGTAAAATTTAACATAAACATTTAAAGACAACATACTTGGTAAAATTTAACATGAACATTGTTCTTGTGAAGTTCATCAATAACAGCAGATATTTGCTTGCATTGAGGTGCCCATGTTGCAGAAAAATGTAACACAACAAGACTTCTATAATGAAAAAGACAATAACCAAATATAGCAATGTCTCGCAACAGCCTTGTTTGATGACCTATTTCTTAAAATTTCAATTTTGTAAAAATGGCGAATTAAGTTCTCGGCAAATGCAGTAAAAAAAGCCAGTCATGAGTCCCAGATTATGCAATCAACACTAGGCAACCAACACTAGGCAACCAGCACTAGGCAACCAGCACTAGGCAACCAGCACTAGGCAATCAACACTAGGCAACCAACACTAGGCAACCTAAACTAGGCAACCAACACTAGGCAACCAACACTAGGCAACCAACACTAGGCAACCAACACTAGGCAACCAACACTAGGCAACCAACACTAGGCAACCAACACTAGGCAACCAACACTAGGCAACAATCACTAGGCAACCAACACTAGGCCAAGAAGACTAGGCAACCAACACTAGGCAACCAACACTAGGCAATCAACACTAGGCCAAGAAGACTAGGCAACCAACACTAAGCAACCAACACTAGGCAATCAACACTAGGCCAACAAGACTATGCAATCAACACTAGGCAATCCAAAGCCACTCAACACCAGCCAATCAAAGCCACTCAACACCTGGCAATCAAAAGCCACTCAACACCAGGCAATCAAAAGCCATTCAACACTAGGCAATCAAAAGCCACTCAACACTAGGCAATCAAAGCCAATCAACATTAGGCAATCAAAAGCCAATCAACACTAGGCAATCAAAAGCCAATCAACACTAGGCAATCAAAAGCCAATCAACACTAGGCAATCAAAAGCCACTCAACACTAGGCAATCAAAAGCAAATCAACACTAAGCAATCAAAAGCCAATCAACACTAGGCAATCAAAAGCCACTCAGCACTAGGCAGTCAAAAGCCAATCAAGACTATGCAATAGACTTGCTTTTGTCAAAATTTTGAAAAGGGAGGCTCTTGGTCATGAACTAGCCTGGTGAAAAATATCAAAGTAAAGAGAAAGTCAAGTTTTGAAAAAAGAGATAATGTACTCTTCGTATAAGCAGTTAAAATAAATAAACATAAACTATTTCATGTCTTAGTAATCAAATACCACCTTGTGTTTACTGTGATATGTATTGGAATGATCAAAGGTATAAAAGTATAAAATCACAAAGTCCTGAGCATATTGGAGATGAATCCTTTCAATGGATGTTTTACAAATTAAAATTATGTACCCTTGAAAAATTATAAAGGGGGTGAGCCCCTAACTTGATAAACAATACCCCCCTCCCCCTTCCATTTGCACATGATGAGAGATGATGCATCAAATCAGAGGCAGAGAATGCCTTGATTTGTTGCAACTGCTCAAAACTTAAATGTTTAAAAATCATTAAACTTTGAGAAGTATTATATCACATCACTTTGTTATGGCAAAGAAAGACAAATTAAACGTGTGTAATTGTATTTTGGCTTGAAAAATATGTTCTGAAATGTCAAAATGTCAATGTTCGTAAAATGAAAATGGTCTATTGCCAATTTCGCCTTTGTGCTCATGCACTATGGGCGGCATAAAATAGAGAAAAGAAATATTTCCAAAATCTTTTTCACACAGTCAAAGAAACAAGAGAAGTCGTATGATATAACACTTCATTACAAAAACACTTAAATATGTTGAAATACCGGGCTAAATATCAAACTCATATTGTTGTACAAGTATCATAGATAAGAATATTTCTTACTTGTCTTTTAGAATATTTTCAAAATCTTCTTGCGACTTTATTTCGTTCGCCATATTTCTTTTCCTGCTTCCCTAGTGCCAGGCTTCCTCTCACTGTAACTCAAACTTCTTATATGCACTCAAAATGCAATGAAAGCAGGGGCGGATCTAGAGTATGTCAAATCCAGGGGCGGATCTAGGATTTTTCAAACATCAGTCATAAAACGTCGGAGGCACTCCGCGCCGGGGGGGGTCTGAGGCATTCTCCCCTGAGAAATTTTGAATTTCAGAACCTCTAAAATGCCATTTTCAGCGTTTTAGAGCAATACAAGATGTATTTTGTGGGCATCGTTTTTCGGTAAAAACAACACATTTTGCTTACGTTTTTTTCAAAAAAAAAATGAAGTGAACAATACTTGAATGTTTTGCCAAATATTTAGGCTCATTATCATGCCAAATATATGGCTCATTAGCATGTCTAGGAACGTAAAATTTATTTTACAATAATGCTATTCAAAACAGATATAGTCTTTAAAATTTCTACCAAGTTGTCAGGCATAGACCCCCCTAGAGACCCCCATTCAAACCTCTATGTAATAAGTTAAGTTAGAAATTTGGTACTACAAGTGACAGTTCATAAATATAGAAAAGCTCAGACTTCAAACCATGCAAGTTTATTGTAACCCTTTACCCATCTCCACATCAGAGCCAGCAAATTCACTTTTGAGAAAAACTCAAAATTTTTTTCTGTAAAAGATTAAGAAAATTATCAAAGTGAAAAATTGCAGTTAAGGACAGCTTAATGCCATGAATGTTTCTTAGGCATTTCACTAGACTATTATCTTCTGTAAGTATATGCAAGGTGTGCTATATAGCAATCACTAGTAGCATTGTATTTGCAAATACAAACAGAATGTAACCAACATGTCTTTAATTATATAATTACATGAATGTTAAATTGGTTCATGTGTCATGCTTACTGGTTATGATAAATATCTTTTCATATGATCAAAGCTCGTTTAAATGTAAATCTGAATTAATTTAGTATAGAAATTATACTGATCATCAGAAAAATTACCTAGTGATCATGAAAAATACTTTGCTGTTTTGCCAAATTTCAAGGTTTATCTGCATACATAGGAAGACATTTTTACTTTATAGAAAATGCTATTCATACATCAATAGCCCTTTGGAATTTATGGCAAACAATCTGGTATGAGCCGTAGATTAACACACCTTTACATCTCTACATGAGGTGTTCAGTTAGAAAAGGGGACAATATGTGACATGGGACAACATTTCATGTATGTGAAATACTCGGGTTTAATACCATTCCAGTCAAATTGTCAAAATAAAAAGCTTCATGGATCAGAAGACTCAAAATCACAGGTTATAGTAAACAGCTTCTCATGTAATCAATGTTAGTTTTCTCAAAACTTAAACAATATGTAGTATAACTGTCCAATGATTGAATGATCAATGATCATAAACTGAAAAGCCCCAAACATTTGTTTATGATAAAGTAAATAATAGTATGGCACCTTATGGCTACAGATTTTTTGTCCATTGAAATATATTTGCAGAAATGTAGGATTTCGCTGCCATATAACGGCCACGATTCCCCAAGCATTAAAGAAATCATAGCTAAAAGTCCTTCGGCAACAACAATTTTAGAAGCATCAATCTGCTTACCATACGCCATATTAACATAAATCGCATCACACACTAGCATAAATTGACTTTGATATATTGCATTCATGCATACACTTCACTTGTCCTTTACTTACGATTTTCGATGTAAATTTCTGCTGATAAAACTCAAAACAATGTTGGCTTGCTTTTGAACATCAATGACTGAAATGTCGCTCGCGAGATCGTCTTTGCCAAGCATTTACAATTCATCCATAAATTTTTCACCCTCTTGAAAAAATTCACAGTTTGGAAAGCAGCATTCATGTCAACATATGAATTTGTAAAAGATTTCCATAAATTCCATCTGATTGTAGTTTAGTTTCTATCATGCTTCAGAAAATTATTATGAACGATCAAACATTCAATTCAGACAGTGAGCTTGACTATGTTAGTTCAGTTGGCTATCAGTCGAAATCATTGAGTTCTATAAGACCTGGAGGGGAAACGTCAACAAAATTACTAATAAATGATTAGCGCGCGGCCGCGTGGTCAAAAACATGGCGGATTTTGGTGGTGACATACTCTAGATCCGCGCCTGGTCAAATCCGTCGCGCGACTGATGTTTGAAATTCAAAAATTACCTATTCATATTAATTAAAAATTCATTAATTATTCTTACTTTAATATCGCATTTACTTCATTATGAAAATCCAGCTTTATTTATTATTGAAAACTAATGACTAATCTAATGAATATCTCCTTGGTAACCAGATCAGTTGAATTTTAATTGACCTGGAATAACCGACTGATAAGCGGGGTGGCTTGACTGGTTCGACATATAAAGGAGTCTATGAACGCCAGAAACGCTATTTTATTGGTCAATGGCCAGATCAGTGGACAGTATGGAATAATCTCGACCGATAATAGGGGTGGCCGGACCTATAAGGGAGTCCAATTGCTATCTTACAATTGGCTCATTTGAATTTTTGTTTTATTGTGATTGGTTTGACCGATTTCGACTGATAGCCTTCTGAGCTAACATAGTCAAGCGTGGTGTCTGGAATGCGAGATAGATCATCACGTTGTGATTCACAAAAGCGTGGTTTGTAAAATCTGTTTCATTGCATTTATCAGTAAGTTTTTTTCAAAAATGGAAAAACCAGAAATCATTACAAGTGAGGTTTCTTGTACTAGGGTTACTGAACAAACCATTGAAGATTTACAGGTAAAGCCTAACTTTATTCACAATTTTGATGTAGCTACCTACTACAAAAGAGCTAAAGGTTTGAAAATGTCTGATATTTGTTTGCTTATTAAAAATGTTTTTAAACCTGATGAAAATTACACTTTTCCTCCTTTGAGTGAGAACAATAAAAGGTCTTTTAAATATGAATGGCTCAAAGATTTTACCTGGCTGTGTTATTCACCAAAAGAAGATGGTGCTTATTGCTTATCATGTGTTCTTTTTGGACATCAATTCCCCAGTAAATGCTCAAGAATAAACAATCTATTTCGTTCACCTTTTCGTCATTGGAATGATGCTGTAGGTACATTTAGGCGACATGCTGGAAATTGTAAGGGGGGGAAAATGGGACTACATGCATTTACTTCTCCAATTTTAAATAATATATGATCTGAAATGTCAGGTGAAGCTCAACCCATTGAAAATATCTTAGATACTAACATAAAACTTGAAATTGAGCAAAATAGGAAAATTCTTAAACAAATTGTTGATACAGTTCTTTTTTGTGGAAGGCTTGGCATTGGATTACGAGGTCATCGTGACGATGCTCAATTTCACCCAGAGGTCGGTTGCTATTCAGTCAATGGCAATGTTGGTAATTTTGTTAAATCTTTAAATTTTAAAGTTAGAGCTGGTGATCAAACTTTGGAAAATCATTTGCTCAAATGTGGCAAGAATAAAAGTTATATTTCCAAGACCAGCCAAAACAAGATCATCAACTGTATTGGTCAGGTAATATCAGAAGATATTATAAACGAGATAAAAATAATAGATATTATTCTATCATTGCAGATGAAGCTGCTGATTCTTCTCACAAAGAGCAATTGTCCCTTGTTCTATGGTTTGTTGACTCTTCAATGAATGTTAAAGAAGAGTTCATGTGCTTCCTGCATTGCAAATGGGGTTGAGTGGTCAACAACTTTCAAAGCTTATTTTAGAAACTCTAGAGAAATTTGCCTTACCCATTATGGATTGCAGGGGACAAGGTTATGATGGTGCAGGGGCTGTTTCTGGGCATATAAATGGTTTAGCAGCCCACATTTTAAGAACTAATCCTAAAGCTCTTTACACTCACTGTTACAGTCATCGACTAAATTTGTCTGTCTGTGACACTCTTTCTAACGTTGAAATTAATAACATGTTATCTGTTGTTTCTCAAGCTGCCAATTTTATCAACGTATCACAGACAATGTAAGCGGCGAGGCACCTTTGCTGAGCACGTTAAAAAGTCAGATGTTCAGACCAAGAAGGCAAAACTGGCAAGTCTTTGTAAAACCAGATGGGTTGAGCGAGTTGACAGTCTTGACACGTTTCAACAGTTGTTTATCCCTTTAATCGACACTCTTCAGGACATGATAAACAATTTAGCGGCGAAGTGAAGCCTTCCCTTGCTGCTGATGCTTCCCAGTTACTTTCATTAGTTACTCAATTTCATTTTATTGTTGCGCTAGTTATTACAAGAAATATTCTTGATGCTACTCTTCCAGTCACGCAATTGTTGCAGGGAAAAACTATTATGTTATGGATGGTTTTCATTTGATAACCACTTTGAAGAATGATGTAGCCAACATGAGGAAAAGCATTAATTTTTATCATAACACTTGGTATGAAGAGGCTTTAAAACTTGCTGAAGAGGTCAACGTTCAAGAAACAAAAAAGCGAATTGCTGGAAGACAAACTATGCAATCTAATCCCCCCAGTCAATCATTCAAAGAACATTATAAACTAACCATCACTATTCCTTTATTAGACCATCTTCAAACATCTTTGAGAACTAGGTTTAACTTGGATAGTGTTAATGTGTACCGAGGATTATCTATCGTTCCCGTCAAAATGATGACTCTGTCGGACAAAGGAATTGATTGGAAAGAACAGTTTAAAAGTGTTGCAAAATTCTATCATGATGACTTGCCCAACCCCCTTGGTTTAGATGCTGAATTAAGGCAATGGCGTTTATACTGGGAAACGCACATTGGGCCTTTGCCAGAAAACATCGTCAAAACACTGAAGCATGTAACATTTCCAGGATTTGAAAATATTAAAGTTATTCTTCGCATTTTAGGTACACTACCAATCACCTCATGTGAATGTGAGAGATCAATTTCAGCACTGAGGAATCTAAAAACCTACCAAAGGAGCACTATGGTAGAGGAACGTTTAAATGGCCTGGCTTTAATGCGAATTCACCCAGAAATTATTCCTGACATAGAAAGAGTGATCAATAAGTTTGCTGAAGGTAATACACGTTTGAAATTTGCTTAATGTGTTATGGCTACGTTACTGTAGAAATATTACTGACTTTGCAACTGGCTGCTTAATGCGCCGTTGCTGCAGAAATGTCTTACAGCACAACTGGCTGCTTAATGCGCCGTTGCTGCAAAAATTTAAGACAGCACAACAGGCTGCTTAATGCGCCGTTGCTGCAAAAATGTAAGACAGTGCAACTGGCTGCTTAATGCGCCGTTGCTGCAGAAATGTAAGACAGTGCAACTGGCTGCTTAATGCGCCGTTGCTGCAGAAATGTAAGACAGTGCAACTGGCTGCTTAATGCGCCGTTGCTGCAGAAATGTAAGACAGTGCAACTGGCTGCTTAATGCGCCGTTGCTGCTAAATCAAAGACTGTCCATGTCCGGAATCACATTGTTGCTTTGCACTATGTGTTTCTAGGCATGCTGAAGAGCCCTGACATTGGGCGAAACGGTCTTAGCGTGTTTGTCCTCAATATTTTGTAAGAAAAAATGAAAACTGCGATTTCATTCACTTTGAAAATTTGTTGTAAAGCTATTCCAAAACGCTGGAAATCGCATTTCTGGGACCCTAGGCTTCAACATTTTCCAGGGGATCGGACCTTACGGGCAAACGCCTCCGGCGTTCGCTGGTTTAGGACTGACGTTTGGAAAATCCTAGATCCGCCCCTGATGTTCCGTAGAAAATTGTGCATGTTCCGTAGAAATTTAAAAACATTGCGCGCGCATATACTTTATATTCTGTGATACATGAAGTTTAACGTCATTTGATCAAACATGGCGGCTTGTCGACTGTGCAATGTAAACATTTTATGCCATGCAACTTCTGTCCTTATTGCGGCTGTAGAGTTACAGGTATGATGACGATTGATTGTATAATTTGAAAGAAAATATCACTCAGACAATTTCTCTATTCTTTGTAGCAAAGGAATTTTATATGTCTTTTGTATTTGTATAATGTATTGCCAAAATTGTGGTACTAAAATATTACAAGGCGGAAGTTTTTGTCATAATTGTGGCCATGCGGTTGCAAAAAAAGGTAATTCAAGATAATATTTAATTCAAAATGCTTACTTTGTAAATTAATTGAAAATACTTTATAAAACTATTAATTGATATCCCAGTCTCTGTAAATTAAAATGAATAGACTTTGGAATAAAGAATTTTTCAACTTTATAAAAAAGATTAAAGAATAAGAAATGAATTCATGTAAAATTAACTCTATTATTAACTTTAGATTCCCTTGTGCAGTGTAATAACATTATCCAGTCTTATAACAACTCTGGCACATCTAACAATCAAAGCCCTCCAGCAAGTGGCTCAACTTCCATAATTTGTAATGACAGTATGCCTCGTGACTTACGTCCTATGACCTTTCAATAATTTCGAAAACAAAAAGAACAAGATAGATGCTCTAAATTCTCAATTTCTAAAACAAAAAAGAGGAGCATTTCAACAGCAAATAAAAAAGCTAGGTTAGCACAAGAAGTGAAAGTGCAAGTTGGTGTGGTTAGAGAAAGTGTTGAAGATGGTAGATTGAAAAAAATCAAAGGAAGAACTATTCCTGTATTATTTAATAAAGACGACAATGCCAAGGTATTGCTCGAAAAGGCAGTTGAGAAGCATGCAAGGCACTTTAAACAATTTGACAGAGATGATACTTATGTCATTCTCTATCAAGATATGAGTCTTGTTAAAGATTTACCATGTAGTAACACACCTTTCACCCTTGGAGAATACAAACGAGACCTACTAAAACCCTATTGTAAAATTTTCTTCTGGTTATGTCCGAAAGATGATTTTGAACATTGTTCCTGTTACAATGAAGACAATCATTCAGACGAAGAGCTTCTGTTTGTTCCATTTAATTGTAATGTTGACAATAGCAACTTAGGAATTCAAGAGTTACCATCACCAAAACATGCAACTACTTCAGAGTCAACAACGTCTTTGACAGCACCAAACATCCCATGTTCATCTCAACCTAAATTGTCATTGCAACAGACGTCAGGCAGCATTGAAAAATACTTGGTCACAACTCACCAGTGTCCAACATGTTTGATGCATTTTCCTAATGAAATTGAAGTTCATGCCGATCTTTGTGCTGAGACATATATAGATACTGTTGGTGAATGTGAATCTGATGACCAAGACTGTGAAATTCAGATTGTGGAGGAAACTTATTGAGTGAAGAAGCTAAAAGTGTGACTGATAAGTTGGAAACTGTGCAACAAGTTGTTGAAAATTTAAAGAGCAATTTAAAGATGACATTAGTTAACAGAATAACTATTGAATGCATTTAAAGACTATATGGATACACTGAAGAAGTATTTTAAGTCAGAAGGTATTCTGAAAGTGTCATTTTTGGAGAACCAGCCATAGATACAGGTGGCCCAAGGCGTGAATTTTTACAGGTAAGATTAACTAAATGTTAAGTAAATAACAGTAACAGTTTTGAAATAGTATACAAGTGTTTTAATGTCTAAAGATATTGAATAAATAGGTACAACACTTGCAATGATAGAAAATTAATTTATTGGAGTATTGTAATAACATTTTTTTGTACAGAATGCCTCAACTATATACAGAGGAAGCTGTTCAACGAAACAGGATTTCCAGTAGTGAATGTACAAGCCTTGGCCAATGAAGAATTCAAAGTTGCAGGAGAAATTATTGCTGCGTCAATTGTTCAAGGAGGACCAGCTCCTGTTTGTTTTTTACTTACATAGTGCATGGAATATCAAGGCACAACTGGTGTGAACAGTTAAAGGATGACACAATTAAAATAACTGTTGAAAAGGTAATCTTTGAAAATTGCTTATAACCTGCATGTTGTGGTATTCCATCTAAGGAGTCAAGAGAAACAAGCGACAAGATAATTAGGTAAATTCCATAATGTAAAGATGGCTTTGGAAATGCTGCAATAGCTCTGAAGGAAATTATTTTATATTTTAATATTTTATATTTCAGGTCTCTTGTGATAAGTGATGTGTCAAAAACTCTAGCCATTATTGACCAATTAATATCTGGTCTTGAGCTACATGGGGTTTTGACTGAGTTGCGCAAAAACAGAACAGTTATGGAACCATTATTTACCATTGATGGAGCACAAAAGTTTTCAGTGACAGCTGATCATATTCTAGATCACATTTTGATAGAATGCAGTCCTGAAGGGAGCAACCAAAAGTTATTAGAAATCAATATTCACAAGTTTTTTTGTGATTATATTCAAGCTCTTGAAGCTAAAACAGGTATACATAGTGATTAATGAGCATTGCATGGACCAAGGAACATACCAGGGAGGATATTGATTGCTAAAGCTGCTGAAGTTGGTTGCAAGTAGTGGATATAAAATGTAATTTTTCAGTAACGTAATCAAGGCATTTATATATTTTGCAATCTTGAGATGCTCTTATTGTTCCAATAGTTCTTTAAGTCTGGAAAATTTTCCGAATAATTTTAAAGGAGTTAATTGATTCACTTATCCAATGATTTGCTTCATTTTACTTTTTGTATTGTTTTTCAAGGAGCTAAAATTCTTTGTCTGCATTGTACAAATTTATAACTGGATTTGAAACAGTGACCCCACTTGGCATGGAAAAAACCATCACTGTGAAATTCAAGCATGGATGCAAAGCTGGTTGTAGATGCAGACCAACAGCCTCTACCTGTGCTACAAGCTTAACACTCCCAGTTCATATTGATGATTTAAAGCAATTTGAAGATTTAATGGATGCTACACTTGCAGAAAGTTCTGGTTTTGGCTTCATTGAAAGAATACAGTATCAATTATATATTTCAAGGACATTTCTCTCTTAAAACGTTTTTAATGTTAAGATAACTTAAATATTTTGTTAGATAACACAAACATTATTTTGCATTAGCAGTGCAAATAATTCTGATGCTTCCTGATAGTTTTCAGGATATTGTAATCTTTGCAGCTCAACCAAGTAATGGAAATAATCTTGAAAAGTATTATCATACAACAATTCATTATGGCAAGCATTGCTCTCAACTATTTGCAATTTCTCTTCAGTAACTTTCACTTGGCAATCAAAAGCTCCATACTCCTCGGGCATTGCATATAAAACATTTGGAACTCCAGCAACAGTTTCATGGCGAGATTGCCGAATATAGTGAGTATTCCAATAAACCTGACAATCATTAAATGAATTTTGCAAGACACCATTAAAACAAAACCACAAACATTCTTTAGTGAAATCATCATTCAAATTTAATTGCTCTTCCTCACAAAGATCTTTGAAAAATTGAACCCACCAACTTGAACATTTTTTCTAAAATGTGACCACCAATTCTCAATTCTTTGGTTTGATGGAGATGTACCAAATGCATGAGCTTGACTACCACAAAATGGTGCATTGTCAAGTGATCGAAAGTAGCATTGAGCTGCTGCAATGATCCCATTCTCTGTTCCACAGTCACTACGAGTCTGCAAAGGACATGCCTTATTCTTTCTTACTGCCTCAAAATAAAATTTAGCCACACTCTCTGGCAAATTATTTGACCGTGTAACTTCTAACCAAAGAACTTTCCTGCTGAAACCATCTATTGCACCATGCACAGGGAATCCAAATGGCTTCAGCTTATCATATCCTACATGTGGAAATAAAAAGTAGATAACAATGAACGCAATGATGATAACAGATAGAAAGTTAATGAAAACCGAAATGATAAAAATTGTTACTTACCATCAATGTGCCAGCACTGATTAGGTCCATATGATAGTTACGCCTTTTTAGTTTTTTTTTGCTTTCTCAAAGCACATGCCTTTGGATCTAGTTCCTTTAAAATACATTCCACCAGTTTTCGGGGTACATGTATGTGATGCTTTAATTTAAGTATATGCCACATCTTCCGATAACCAGCCAAGCATCCAGGCCAGACTGGAAAGTATGTCTTGCGCAACCTAGATCTAGCTTGCGCAATTTCGGGAGAAATGCGCGTCCTGACGCGCAGATTTTAAAAAATTTCTTGTTCGCCGCGCATTTGTGAAATTTGCCGCGAAGCGCGAGAAATTATTGCGCAATATCAGCACATGTGCGCTGCAGCGCTGTTGTTTCCGTTGAAACAAATTGTTTTGTTGCCTGTTGAATGTCAATCTTACAAGCTGTTTTGACAGGCAAGTTCCGTTAATTGGTTGGTAAGCCAATAAGCGTTTGATGACTAGAAATATGATATCTGAGCAGATTAACTACACATTCTTTGCTTTCGTTTTTCGAGCTTTCTCTTTTTAAGTGACTTCAAGGCAAACCATATCGATTCTTCGGTGTATTCTACGGTGATACGTGATATTTAATTAAACCAACTTGGGGTGTTCAAATTTGTAAGGTGAGTACACGTAATGGTTTAGTAAAATCAAAAGTACTGATACAAAATTACAAATGATAAAAATTCTGAAAGCATTAACGCTTCTAACACTAAACGCCCGGGGAAACAAGTTATTATTTAACAGTTATGTTTTTTGTGTAACCTAAAAGTAGTGGTACGAAAGGATTTCTTGTATTACAAACTACAAAGCATGTTTTAATACATTTAAGGCAAATAAAATTCACAATCCTTACATAAAACATATTGATAAATGAAGCAATTTATAATTAAAACCGGTTTGCTAGCGAACTAACAGGGCTTAGCTCGCTATTATTTGGTGATAAAGCGAGATTTTTTGACAAACTTTTCTAATTGTTTATTTATTTTTACTAGATGGCTGAGATTCAAGCAGTTAAATCAGGTAAATTCACGCGTTACAATAGCCGAAAATTTTCCTAACAACAATATACACAATATATATCAGCCATTGGTTGATTGCAGGAGCTGATTCGGTGATTCCTCGACAATAGTCATTTCTCACTAAGAGTACCAAACCAACATTTGTGTGTTGCTAAAAACTAGTGCTGCTTGCCTTTGATACCAAAAAAACGTTCATTACATTATCTTAACTTATGTTTTCATTGTTGTTGTCTAATTACTAGTTTGCGTTTCATGCAAGAAGGAATGTGGAAGCCATTTTTGCAAAGTTTGCAAAAAAACGTGCCACGCAATTCCGCCTTCCTCAACATCAGCAGGTGATGATGAAGGTTTTGGTGCCCAGGTCTTGTGTAGTGGCTGTGCAAAAACTGAGACAGCAGCAGTGGCTAAAAATAAGCAGCAAACACTGTCTAAGGAAGGTAACAGAACAATTATCTAGTGTTAGAATGTTAGTCGTGTGTAAGAGTGATCGTGTTTGCGTCACAAAGAAAAGTGGCATGACATTGTCAGTGGGTTTTATAAAAACAATAGTAAACAACCAAGATTGGCTATCGACACATTTGTAACCATAAAAATTGTGTGTTATAGAGTTTCAGTTTGCCAACATGTTTAAAAGACATAGCAAGCAGCAGAAAACAGGACCAGAAGCAAAGCGAGCAAAGAGTGGACACGAGAAAACCCCAATGGGCTTTTGCTTACTTTGTTTTAGGAAGGCAAACGAATTTTGGCTTGCTAGAGGGAACAAGTCCTCTCTAGCAAACCATTTAAAAACTCACAGCGACAAGGGCGAAAAGACCTTAGCAAATGACGCTATTAGAGAAGATTCCCCTCTTGCTAAATCTGCGCTACAGGCGTACAAAATGCTTAAATCGGCTAGGTAAATGAAAATCAAGTTCCCAATTCCCAAATTGAGAACTGCACTTACATTGTGTATGTTTTCTATGTTAATTGTATTTTCAGTACAAAGCCAAGTGCAACAAAAGTGTGGTGGCGACGGAATGGGAGAACGGATAGAAATTATGGAAGTCGATGAAAGGTAGCTAAATTGCTCATTCCCCTGCGTGAACCATAAAATAACCGAATATCACAAACTGCATACATGTTATATAATACATTTCTTTTACATATACAGTGATAGCTTTTTAAAATTATGAATATTAAATTGTTTCAGAGAGCTTGGTAAGGATACGGCTGGACATGCAACTGACGAACTTTCGTGCAAAATCGTTTCTGGTGTCAGTGAATCTGAAAGTTGGGAGGAAACCGATGAAAAAGATGAGAGGTTTGTTAGTGAAATACGGCATTTTTCTTGCATTATAGTATCAGATTTTACGACATTTTGTCACGATATTTTGTGAAATTTATGCCATAGTGGTTGAAAGTGTTGACTTTTAGTTCAAGGCTTCCAATAATTCACTTGTTCGGATAAGTAATTTCTACATTACAAATTTCTTAAGTCGTTTAATATTAACGATGAAATCATTAAGTATTTCAACGTCTTCTGTTGAATTTCTTAGTACATATACTTTTCACACAGTTTGCAAGAAAATTTTAATGTTGGCTTTTTAACACTTTCATTGTTACATCGAAGAGATTGTGAGAGTTAATGCAGTAAGTAAGACGAGTAAGGCTGCCTCTATTTCAAACACCAGCCGTCTTGGCTATCAAAGCTCGCTTGGAAGTTTTCTTCCTTCAATTTTATCAAGTGAGCAAGGCGACCTGCCATTTGATGTGGACGAACTTGCGGAAAAAATTGCTACTAAGGTGGCACAAAAGTTGAGTGGTAACCCTAAATCAGCCCAATCAACAAGTTCAACAACTACATACAATCCCACATCGAGTACCGCACTTCGATCTTCCAATTTGATTGAGCTTGTGGATGAAGTGGAAGATTTTGAAATACTAAAAGAAGAGAACAGCTGGGTGCTGCAGTGTCGAACGTGTGTCGAATTTTAAACTCTTCCCGTGTTTCCTTTTCGTCATCTTTTAATCGACCTACTGGCAAAGCAGACGGATCTTTGGCATCTGGTTTACATATGTCAGATGCCTTGTATGAACAGCTAATTGCAGGCAAGTGTGAAAAATGGTACAGCCAAAGCAAGCGTGTCATCGACATCTTCTTTCTTTGACCCACAAAACGCTGATGACCACATGAAGATGGTAAAGCAAGGGAGGTCAAGGGAAGTACTTGTTGCAAAGAATCAACTCCGTGCAGCTCTTGGTGTTGTGAAAACAAAGTCAGCTGCAGTTCATTATGAAGCACGAATTGCTGAGCTTCAAGCTGCTGGTGCGGATGTTGGTGATTTTTGTCATTCTCGAAAACTTTTTCCAGACATGATCAAAGCAGCATGTGCTTACATCGACATGAGAGCAGCCAATTTTCTTTCTACCCCTCTTCCAAACACAGGAATGCCCCCACATTTTTATGTTACAGCTGATAAATCTACCAATCATCGCATCACTAATCAGGTACTATCGTTTGTCCAGTTGTAAATGGTAGTCGCCGAGGCATTGTCCTTGACGCAAGGGAGGTTTACAGTAACTCTGATGCAACTGGTGGTACAGGTGATGCTCTAGCTGCATCCATTTTTAAAGATCTTGACGTGCATGTTGGTATTAAGGATAATCGGCTACTGCAAGTGCAAGGGCGAGTGATGGATAGACAATACGTCAACGAGCCGTTCATTGCAGGCATGAACGAGCCTGTATTTGAACTTTTGCATGATGATCTGTCCTGCAAAGAAAGATTCTGGTGGCCTGTCCAATGGGGCCCTGCCCATTGGTTAGATAAAGTATTTAGTCAGCTCAAGGACTCGCCTTTCGTTGATCGTTTGCTGAGAAGGATTGCACTTTATCATCAACTTTTTAGTCGTGGTAAAAAGGCACAGCGTAGCGCGTCATACTGCTAAGGACTTGAATCTTCCGTTTCGAGTAACCAACGCATTTGCACATCAGCGGTTTTTGAGCTCCAGCTATCTATCTTTAAAGAATCTTGCAGATAGTTTGAAAGTGTACATCGAGACTTTCAAGGACCACGACAATAGAGAAGAGATGGGTTACAAGTTATGTGGTCAAGACTTTGTCCATGATTTGCTTGGTGTACTCGATTTGTTGTGGCCCTTGGTCGTCCTGATGCTGCAAGCGCAGGCTGAGTGGTATCGTGGTTGGAAGTTGTGCTCTCATGTTCCTTTGGTAAAACGACAGATGCAACGTTACATCGAGGAAGTATCTAAAATTGATCCTGATGACTTTGTTTGCCCAAGATTAAGCCAGCGAGTTCATGAAATTCGAGATTACCGCTTTGGGCAAAGTGAGTTGGAAACTGGTTGGTTTGTCGTTAGAGAAGGCGACGGTAAAGTGCCAGTGGATTGGGTAGCAAGAGAAATGCAGGACAGTGTTCATGATCTAGAGAAGCTGGCTGCGGATGTCATTAGTCAGATTGATGTTCGCTTCACCAATAGCTTTTCCGACCTCAACAGAATGCTATCAAAGTGTTTTGACTTTGGACGACTTTTTCGTGGTTTATGCGGTTTTCGTTAGGAAGAAAAAAGTCCAGTAAACAACAGGGAGTTTTCTGAACTTGGAGCTAATGAGTTTAGACGATGTGTAAACTTTTCCTCACAGATGCCACATGTTTCTGAAAAGAATTTTGAGCTTTGTAGCGAGCTATCATCCACAGTGTTTTGGCGTCTAAAGAAAACACTCATTGCCGTTGTTTGGGGTGATATGCTACACACTCACTTCCTAATTTTTCAAGAAGATCTCTCGATGACGAAGGAATTTTTCCTTGCAGGATGTGGTTTTCGAGGAAGGAGTCTTTGTGACTAGGTTCCAAGAAGGTACACCAAGGCAGTTCACCCTTTCTGAGGTCTTCGAAGTGACGCTCAACAATGGTAAAATGATTGACGTTCTTTTTAAAGAAGAGGCCGTTATTGAATCTTTATATAACGATTCCTCATTTTATTCAGCTGTCGGCCAAGAGTTTTGTCTCGTCTTTGACATATTTTATGCGAAATGCGGAACTGAGGCTGTTGCCGAATCTTTTTACCGGGTGGTGGATAAGCAAGAAATGGATGGTGGGCAAAGCATAAAAGTGCTAATGAATCGTGCTAAAGTTGATTGGAGTTTACCATCTGTACTTCAATGCGACGCAGCACTGAACGAAATGGCAAAACTTTACATCAATGGGGACAAGGAACGTGGTTTGTCCAGACATATGATTCCTGTTTTAGAGACCGACGAGCATGGCAAAACACGAAGGAGAGATGTCCAAGGTTTTGCAACGCATCATAACATCACGCCCTAAGCTACCTTTCCTCTTGTAACCTTAGTCAAGCGTCAACCAGTATGCTTCGTGCAGTTATAATCAAAAAGTTTTCAATCCAAATCTGGAAGCAGATCGTAATTGTTTATCAATTGAAAAAGCTCCCTTGCTTACCATCTGCCTGCTGATTATAAACAATTATTAACTGAAAACCTTTTCTGTCCACAATCTGGTTGCTGATTATAAACAAAGATTAACTGAAAAATCTTTTTTGTCCACCACCTGGCTGCTGATTATAAACAAAGATTAACTGAAAAAACTTTTTTGTCCACCACCTGGCTACAGATTATGAACAAAGATTAACTGAAAACCCTTTTTTGTCCACCACCTGGCTACTGATTATAAACAATAATTAACTGAAAAACCTTTTTCGTCTAACACCTGGCTGCTGATGATAAACAATTATTAACTGAAAAACCTTTTTTGTCCACCATCTGCCTGCTGATTATAAACAATTAATTGAAAAACCTTTTTTGTCCACCATCTGGCTGCAGATTATAAATATTTATCAACTGAAAACCTCCCTTGCTTACCATCTACCTGCTGATTATAAACAATTATTAACTGAAAAACCTTTTTTGTCCACCATCTGGCTGGAGATTATAAATATTTATCAACTGAAAACCTCCCCTGCTTACCATCTGGCTGCTGATTATAAGCAATTAGTAACTGAAAAACCTTTTTTGTCCACCATCTGCCTGCTGATTATAAACAATTATTAACTGAAAAACCTTCTACTCCACAATCTGGCTGCTGATTATAAACAATTATTAACTGAAAACCTTTTTGTCCACCATCTGCCTGCTGATTATAAACAATTATTAACTGAAAAACCTTCTACTCTACCATCTGGCTGCTGATTATAAGCAATTAGTAACTGAAAAACCTTGTTTGTCCACCATCTGCCTGCTGATTATAAACAGTTATTAACTGAAAACCTTCTACTCCACAATCTGGCTGCTGATTATAAACAATTATTAACTGAAAACCTTTTTTGTCCACCATCTGCCTGCTGATAATAAACAATTATTAACTGAAAAACCTTCTACTCCACAATCTGGCTGCTGATTATACAAAAGATGGTTCCTGATTGATTTGTTTTTTTTTGACGACGTATTTGACGACGTCAGTAAATCAAATTTATTTGGTGCCTACCTTTTATCGTATCATACGCTGTGATTAAACGATGAAACAGATGAATGATAAACATACGTGGTACGTTGGTCGTTCGACTCGTTACATAATACCTAAGGTAAAGTGGCATTTTTTTGTGATTACACATGACACATCCTCACGTTGTAAAAGGAGAGTTGCAAGCTCCAACTTAAGGTAAGCTACAGCTATACACATGTATCATCTTTTATGTTATTTTCATAATTATTTGCAATTGCAAACTATCAAAATGGAGTGTGATACGGAAAAATAAACTGGCATCTCGCGAATATTTTATGGCTTCGCAGCGCAAAGTCGAAAATCCGCCGCGCAAAATTGAAAATCCGCCGCGCAAAATTTCTAAAAAAAATTGATCTAGCTTGCGCAGTTTGCATACTTTCCAGT